TTAATTTACAGAGGAAGGAGGGGGGGGGGGCGAGGGGGCACAATGATGATCTGGTGCTGACTGTTTTTGTGTTGCTTCTTTCCAGACAGGGAGTACCCTCTAGAGCGCTATCGAAATATCGGTATTATGGCACACATAGACGCGGGAAAGACAACGACGACAGAGCGTGTTCTGTTCTATACTGGGAAAAACTACAAGATTGGCGAGGTTCACGAGGGGACTGCCACAATGGACTGGATGGAACAGGAGCAAGAGCGCGGAATCACGATCACATCTGCCGCAACCACTTGCGAGTGGAATGGATTCAGGATCAACATCATTGATACCCCTGGTCATGTGGACTTCACCTTGGAGGTGGAGCGTGCGCTACGCGTGCTCGATGGGGCAATCTGTCTTTTCGACAGCGTGGCTGGCGTTGAGCCCCAGTCAGAAACTGTGTGGCGTCAAGCCGACAAGTATGGTGTCCCACGGATTTGCTTCGTAAACAAGATGGACAGAATGGGCGCGAACTTCTTTCGCACTCGCGACATGATTGAGAGCAATCTGGGAGCCAATCCCCTGGTGTTGCAGCTGCCAATTGGCGCAGAAGAGACTTTCGAAGGCGTGATCGATCTTGTCAAAATGGAGGCTGTGCTGTGGTCTGGTGAGGAGTTGGGTGCCAAGTATTCTTACCAGCCCATTCCTGAGGACCTGGCAGAGCAAGCAAGGGAGTACAGGGACATGATGGTGGAGATTGCGGTGGAGCAGGATGACGAAGCAATGGAGGCTTACTTGGAAGGAAACGAGCCCGATGAAGAGACTCTAAAAAAACTCATCAGGAGGGGGACGATCAATGGTGCGTTTGTGCCAGTGCTCTGCGGGTCTGCATTCAAGAACAAAGGTGTTCAGTTGCTACTAGATGCAGTCGTCAGCTTCCTCCCATCGCCGCTGGACCTTCCGCCCATGAAAGGAACGGATATCGATGATGCGGAGAAGGAGATGATCCGCATGCCAGACGATAAGGAGCCTTTCAGCGGCTTGGCGTTCAAGATCATGACCGACCCGTTCGTTGGCTCGCTGACGTTCCTGCGCGTTTACAGCGGCGTGCTGACTGGTGGCTCGTACGTTCTCAATTCGGCAAAGAACAAGAAGGAGCGCGTCGGGCGGCTCTTGGAGATGCATGCAAACAGTCGGGAAGACATCAAGGTGGCAAGGACGGGTGACATTGTTGCACTGGCAGGCCTCAAGGAGACAATCACGGGAGATACGCTCTGCGATGCTGATAAACCCATCATCCTTGAGCGGATGGATTTCCCCGACCCCGTAATCAAGGTGGCAATTGAGCCAAAGACAAAGGCAGATGTTGATAAGATGTCCACCGGATTAATTAAGCTTGCACAAGAGGACCCCAGCTTCCACTTCTCGAGAGATGAAGAAACCAATCAGACTGTGATTGAAGGAATGGGTGAGCTGCACCTTGAGATCCTCGTCGACAGACTTCGTCGAGAGTTCAAGGTACGAGTGTCCTCCCCCCCTCTTCCCTCCCTCCGCCCCCCCCACACAAATAGAGCAGGGAGGTAGTTATGGCAAGGTGTGTATTGCCTGCAACTGTTGCTCTGTTCAATTTAGGCTAGACTCCACTGGAGCATATTTTGTCCTTGCCTGACAGTTTGGGATGCCGGCACCCTTTGCTTCAAAACATGTGCCTGGCTGTCGATATTATGCAAAAAAGCTCATGTGTCGATCTGAGTGTCCAATCGGACAGGTGGGAGGTTGCCACATGTATTGCCTGCACGCAATTTTGCTACGTAATGCACACAGCGATCACACACTCTAGTGTGTGCGCTGTGCATCAACAGCTCTTCAGTCAGACACAAAAGGGGCCGCGCTGACCGTCCCAACAAGTTTTCCTCGGCTTCAGAACATGCGGACCCCACATCGTCATGCAAAAATTGGCCAACAACAACAGCACCTCGGCCTGTGGCCCACTTTGGTGCCCTGTGTTTTGACCTGCCCAATATTGTACAACTCTGTTTCATCCTCAACCGATCACAGCCTGGTAGTGGGGTGTTGATTCTGGTCTATTGTGTCTTTCAGGGATTAGTATATACATATAGATATACATATAGATTATGCAAGCTGAGGTGGCATGTATACGTGACGGTGGCATGAGCCTGACCGAACCTTTTCCTGGTCGGGGACTGTCTGCTTTGCTTGTTTGTGTGTTGCCTGGCTCTCTCTCTTGAACAGGTGGAAGCAAATGTCGGTGCGCCGCAGGTCAATTACAGGGAAAGCATATCGAGGGTCTCGGAAGTGAAATACGTCCACAAGAAGCAATCAGGAGGGCAGGGGCAGTTTGCAGAGATTGTTGTGCGATTCGAGCCCATGGAGGCGGGAAGCGGGTACGAGTTCAGAAGTGAAATCAAGGGAGGGGTTGTTCCGAGGGAGTACATCCCTGGAGTCATGAAGGGTCTGCAGGAGTGCATGTCCAATGGCGTATTGGCTGGCTATCCAGTCGTGGATCTCAGGGCGACACTTGTCGACGGATCCTATCACGAAGTGGACTCGAGCGTACTCGCATTCCAGCTTGCAGCGAGGGGTGCATTCCGAGAAGGAGTGTCTAAGGCGGGACCGCGGCTTCTTGAGCCGATCATGAAGGTGGAAGTTCTAACGCCGGAGGAACACCTGGGGGATGTTATTGGTGACCTGAACTCTCGGCGAGGCCAGATTGAGTACTTCGGCGAGAAACCGGGAGGATTGAAGGTAGGTGTGCATATGTCCTCTAACCATCCGTTCCACTTGTCTCCCACATAAATGAAATGATGGTTATCTTATCTATGCCCATTGTGATTCTTCTTCTTGAAAAGAGTCGGGGTGGGGGAAGAAAGAAAAAGGAAAAAGAGCTTCAGAAGACTGAATTAGGCTCAATTTGCTGAAATTATGCCATGCCAGCCTGTATTTGGAATTTGTTCAAACTTCAAAATTCAAAAACAAAAGATGAGTTTTGGAAGGACTGCTAGAAAAGATGAAGAAAATTCAGCAGACAATATATAAGTGGACGAGCCCCCGAAGAGGCCTGGGAGGACGAGCCCCCGAAGAATGTGGATGTAAACCTTCGTCGGAAAAGTTCACCTCCGAAAGCTGATTGATCGCTTAAGCTCAACCCACCCTGCAACCCACAACCCCTGAACCCTAATCTCCAACCACTGAACCCCACACTTCGGTACTATATTGCCCAGTCTTCCGTCCCTCTCCTTGCTAAATGAAAGCTGAAACAGTACTGGCAACAGGAAAGGACCCAAGGCTCCAATCCTCAGCCCAGAACATTGATCCACTTCCCTTTTACTTTGTCAGTAACCGGGAATGGGTCTAGGTATCTCTGTTTAGCTTATGCAGGAAGGGGCAAGGTATCTCTGTGTAGCCTAATATGCAGGAAGGGGTCTAGGTATTGGTGCTTAGCCTAAGCAGGAAGAAGGGGTCAAGGTATCTCTGCATAGCCTAATAAGCAGGAAGTGGTCCCGATAGTCCTCATGCTTATTTCTAACGATAGTCCTCTTGTGGGAAACTTTCCAGCTTCAGCGGATAGGCCAGAGACTGGGTCCATCCACCGTCACTTTGGTCTCAAAGGCCCGAAAAAACAGGGGTCAAAAGTCATGCCCTAAGTCTAAGAAAAGCCTGGGCAAAGGCCTAAGGCCAAGGGGTACCCAGGGCAGGGCCAAAACCAGCATTCAGAGGCCCTACGAAGAACAGTTGACTTTGAGAAAGTCAACGGTCAACCCGTATGGGAATCCAGGCCCAGAGGTCAAAGTCAAGCCGCTGGTCAGCCACGGCCGTTGATCAGATGCACACCTTTGGTTGGATGCAGGTATCCGGAAGATTCCAGTACGACGGGGACACAAAGGGTTTTGGGACTGCGCTGCATCCAGGCCATCGGCTGCTGATTCATCTGGGCCGTTGACCCCAGGTAGACAAAGGGAAATCCTTACAACTTTCGAGCCACCTTTCCATATCGTACAGTCTTTTCTCCTCCTTGTTTCCTCGATGGTCCACATCCGGGTAAATATCGAGCTTCATCTTGTGCTATTATTACCACGCGTACGTCACGCAGACCACATGGGTGATCTGCAAATGACTGACCAGCAAACAACCCGAGACATTTTGGGCTTGCAACACCATCTGGGTGATCTGCAAATCTTTGGCCAGCATCCGGCACACCAGCCTGAGATTAACGGCCCAGACGAATCAGCAGCCGATCTCTGTGGTCTGACTGGAACTAATACCTGTCTTCACATTCTCCACCGCCTGTTTTATACACCGTCAGACTTCCTTGCAATTGCTGTTCAGCTTGATGCAATCTCTAGGACAGGATAATGGATCAGAGCAAACTTCAATTTCTCGACTCTCGAGTATCAACTCACACTCCTACTCCAATCCCAAGGGGTGTCCAGTCAAGTTAGATCAGTCAGAGGGCATGCTATACTCCTATGATTTTCTACAAAGGGTCTATAATACCCGTCATACCCAAGAATGATCTAGCCTCAGTCACCGACTTTGGTCACAGCGAGGCCCTAATGTCTGCTATCTTTGCATCTTCAGGCCTCAGTCCTACCTCAGAGATTCCGTGACTCACGTACAAGATTCCAATACGTCCAAACTCGCAGTTTTCTTTATCGATCTTATCCTTGTGCTCTTGGAGGAGATAAAAAAAACTCTCTCTTCATGTTTAGCATATGGTTCGCCAATGTCTTTGTGGAGATAGATGCCCTGCTTTCGGACGACGTACATGGACTTCTACTACGATCAAGTTCAGATCAACTCCATGTGAACCATTGGACATAGCTTCCCGACAAGCCAAAATATTTTTTGGAGTTGCTTCTACTTCTAGCTCTTTTGAGGATTCGGTCATGTCTCGGGAACAGAGCATCTCCTGGTCAGACGGTGACTGCGGTTTAGCTCCGAGGTCAGTAGCCAGTTCTGTAACTGTCTGAGAGATGGAGGGAGAGCTTCCAACCCAGATGGGAACTATTTCTTCTATCTCTACAGACTGTGTACAAGAAGCTACTTCTTCTATTGGCTGGCCTGGTTTTCTTGTGTTTCTTCACTAGGCAACGGTCCTTCTATGGGACCGAACTCGCCGCATGTCATGCACTTGCCCGGGAAATGTATATCCTGCCAGGTTTTCTTGTCAATCCCTCTCTCACCCAGCTAGGACTTTTTGGGCTTTGGGCTTTGGGCTACCTGAGTGGGTGTATCCAGGGTAACGATCTAGGGTAGAGAGAAGAGAGAGAGTGAGGCAGATTGAGTCAAGTCAGAGAGAGAGAGGAGAGGGGAGAAGCCATAGCCGCTATCTGGTTGTGATCCGTTGTGTGTGTGTGTGCGGCAGAGCTGCGGGAGACAAACATTCTTGTGTATTGATAATAATATTGGAGGCGACGTCTTCAAGTGTTGATTGTATCTCGATCTGGCTTCTCACATGCGAACTCTCATGTGAATGTTCATTGATGCATGCGAGGTTGAACGTGACGAGTGCTTGGCTCAATTCACCAGAAGACATCCGTACACAAATAAAAAAACAAAATCTTTGGCACCCACTCATGCGCGGCCTTTAACTTTTTATTTTTTAATTTATGTTGTGATATTTTTCTTGCACAAGGGGCAAGACCTGCTACAACACCCAGCCCCTAAATTTTTTTTCGGAAAACCCCCATTTTGGGGGGTGCGCCGCATCACGTGCGTCGTGTGCGCGGCGCGCTCATGCGCAAGCGCATGCGCTTTGCGCCGCACGTGTGCAAGTGGCGCGCATGTGATGCGCCGCAAGTATGGCAGCAACTGATGTATTCCATTCACCTTGCTAAGCAGGAGGTTTGTTTGTGCACCGAGGTCGAGTACTGTACCGACCGCAGCTTTATCTCTGTCGTCAAGTGTTCCTCGTTACTTCCTCCCCTATGCAAACATGCCAACTTCCTCTTCAAGCTTTTCTAGGTATGTCTTATTTGCTAAATATTCCTCCTCTATTTTTGCTTCTGTCAAATCTCTTTCTTTCTTTCTTTCTTTCTTTTTTTTTTTTTTTCTTTTTTTTTTTTGGGTAAATAGGTCCTTATGGTCCTGGCTCCATATCCATTCTGGGGAGCTTCAGTCCCGGTTCCTATTCCCCCGGCAAGTCAGAATAACAGTATTACATCATCGCACACACACACACACTCGCCCCCTTCGGTCTGGCCGAAGTGTCCCTCCTGAGCAGTGTTGATTACTCCATTTTACTGGAGGATTTACTGTCAGCTTGCCTTTTCCTGTAGTCCCCCTCTCACGCTCTCACGCTCCTCTGCAGAGGCCTGTCAGCTAAACATTAATGCAAGGAAATCAGAGATCAGCAAATGACATAGCGCTGAACCGCCTTATGTGTCTCTGAAGTCTTGTTGTTCAGACGGGAGAAAGCTTCTTGAACCAACCATACGCTTTCCATCTGATATGAAGTCCATGAATATCAGCCGTCTTTCCTCGAACCAACCATACGCTCGTGAACTTGGCTGCCAGCTCTTGCTGCTTCTACAGATTCTGCTGAATTTGGAGCTTGACCTTCTTCCATGGACACAGGATCTACGTTTCCGTTAATGGTCTCGGCGTTGCCCATACCTGCTTGCTCACTCGGATTGCTGGACTTGTCCAACGTCCTGTTGCACCTCTCCTTTCATAAATATGACCCAGCGTGTCACCCTTCATATGGATTATTCCGAACCATATGTGTTCAGATTTGTAAAATTGGGCAGGGATGTTAGTCCATAGGAGTAGTTGGATTGGTTGTCGGGGAAGGAAGGAGGAGAACAGGTAGTCCCAGAGGACTGATGCTCTCGCCCACTGGTCTCCGTAGCGTACTTGCATGTTATCAGACAGTGTATCAAGTTCTCCTGTTCGTTGTCTGAGCAAACCAGACATTGTTTCGAGCTATTTTTGGTCATCGTTGTTCTTCCTTCTGACGTGTAGCCAGCTGTTCGCGGGGAGATCAGTGTAGGTGATGAGCCGTTGAAGGCTTCTGGGCGTAATGATTGACTTATATTTCCGCCATGGAATCTCAGAGATTGGTTCCATGCCCTGTCCTACTAGCATCTTATTCCATCTACGGTCTACCTTTGATTACCAGTTCGGGGTCTCCCATTTTGACGGTGTATTGTTGTTATGTGAGCGGCAGTCTTGTAGAATCTGTTGTTACCTGAGGGCCATGCCCGCTCTTAAGGGTCGATTTCCAGGTCATGGATTGGTCTGTCTATTTGGAAGATAGTTTTTGGGCCAGCAGCCTAATACTCTTTATTTTTTCCTGGAGCGTGAAACAATTCAGGGTTGAGATAGTTTTTGGGCCAGCAGCCTAATACTCTTTATTTTTTCCTGGAGCGTGAAACAATTCAGGGTTGATTCTTGTGGGTCAATATTGTGGATAAAAGGGGACTTGGGGGACTTGGGGGACTGGTAAGATCTATCGGGAAGGAGATGAAGACTCCTAATAAGAAGTCTGAGCCCGGGGATCCGCGTGAAAAATTGGTACGCTCTTGCTGGTGTCGTTTCCTGGGTCAGGAGGAGTCCCCACTTTCCTGGTTTCCACGAGAAATCCTCTTTCACTGACTTTCAGTAAATAAATCCTTCCAACTATTTGGGATGCTGTTGATTACTGTTGAATCGTGTTGATAGGTTTTCATCACGGCCGTGGCATCCTTTCAAGCCTGACTTGAGCTTTTCCTCGTCAATCCAGTCTTTTTTTTCCTTCATCCCAAATGTGACTTACCCTCCAAATTCCATGCCTAATCCGAGAAGGCCTTCACTGGCTGGTTGGCGGTGGCATCCTTTCAAGCCTGACCTTAGCTTTTCCTCATCATCAATCCAGTCTTTTTTTTCCCTTCATCCCAAATGTGACTTACCCGCCAAATTCCATGCCTAATCCGAGAAGGCATTTGCTGGCTGGTTGCAATTGATAGTGGATGATCTCCTGCGCCCCTCACACACAAGTTCGCAAACAGGGGCTGACACAGGACATCGTCTCTGGATTTGGGTTTCTTCAACTGTCTTGACCTTTTTAGGCATAATAATTTCTCTCCGTATGTGGACGAGAACAGTCCAGTAGGGGGTAGGGGGTCGCGCCTCGTTCTCGTACGCACTCGCAGACCGTCTCCTGTCTTCCAGTCTTCGGCGTCCACTCCTTGTTCATTACCCAGAATGGGCCAATTTATTACCCACACCGGACTTTGCACAGGGGCTATGGCTCCAACGCTGTCAAGCGCCAATTTATGCCATGATAACCTCGGTTGGGTCAGTAATAAGTACTAATAACTTGATTTTTTTTTTTTTTTTTCCAGTAATAACTTGATTATCCACTTGATCTGGAGAGATTGGTGTCGATTATCCCTAATCCCCCCTTAGACAGCCAGCCTCCTCGTTATATAGTGCCAAACTATCTTTGGTATGTACTTTGTTCTGCGGGGTTTCACCTGACCAGAGGTATGCTCTGGCTCTGCGGTTGAAGTTTCTTGATGGTCTGGTCGGGGATGGTTCAAATGGAAGCGATATACCACATCGTGGAAAAGAGAGAGGTGTTAATGGTTAGGGGGCTCTCCCGAATAATGAAGTGAATGTGTTGTTCCCCCATCGTCCCATTCTGTTGATCTGATTGGTCAACAAGTTTTGTGCCATTTGTGGGGCGGGTCCATCCTTGGCAAACCATAATTCCCAAATATCTCGTTGGTTCTTCCGGTTTCTCCCATGTCATTTCTGCCTCTGGTCCATCCATCCAGTCAGGGGGGTCTCTTCCTCCGATAGCCACCACCCCACCGTCTTTTTCCAGTTGATCTTCATTTCTGAAGCTAACCCAAAGGCTTGCATTGCTTTTTTTTTTTGTTTGTTTGTTTTGTTTTTGGAACCAAAACACTGAATCCGAGTGTCAATATGACTGATGCTTTAACTGAGGAATCAGATGCCCTTAAAATACCATAAGATCATTCACAAACATTATGGCTGTTGGGAATTGTATATGTTGAGGGTTTGCCGGTGTTGAGCTATGGAAGCCTTTGGATGGAGGGGTCCTTGCGTAAGAAGGAGGCAATAGCTTTCATAACGAATAAGAAAAGATCGGTGGGGCTAGGGGATCTCCTAGTCTAACTGAACGAGAGATCGGGTAGCGCTCTAACGTAAAGCCCGTTGACCCGCACACAACCTGAAGCATTATTATATGATTCCTGAACGTGTGCGGTGCGCTGTGCGCAGGTTTAGCAGGGCGCGCACTGTGCGCTGTGCACGCGCTGCGGCCTGTGCGCCATGTGCGCAGGAATTGAAAGAAAAAAAAAATGCCACACCCCCTCTTCCCCCGCCCCCAGCAGCCATACCGACATACCAACCTGCAGAGGGGACCCCTGCAAGAGATAAGAGAGAGACAACAAAGGGTCCCCTTCTCGTCAATTCCAGGCCCCCTGTGGGTACCTCGAATGGCTCCTACAATACAGGTGGAGCCATTAAGGGCCAGCTAAAATGAGAGGGATGGCCTCGTCACGTGTGGGAGAGATGTGGGCAGACCACCAATATATGCTGTGGATTCGAGTTCAGGGCTGTAGCTCTGCAGTTATGGGTCACCAATTCAGCTAGACCCTGTTCGTGTCTCCACGTGATTCTCAGGGCCTCCCTCCACCACTCACCAAATGTATATAACATTAGTAGAATGAATCTTCTGCTGAAACATGTAACCATACACCGCCATATGCTATGTCTTTTGTGCATTTGGTGAGTAGTGGAGCAGGCCCCACTGGACGTATTCGTAAGAAAACAAAAACAAAAAAACGAGAGAGCAGAATGAATCTTCTGCTGAAACGTGGAACCATACACCGCCATATGCTATGTCTTTTGTGCATTTGGTGAGTAGTGGACCAGGCCCCACTGGATGTATTCGTAAGAAAACAAAAACAAAAAAACGAGAGAGCCACGGGCATCTTCATCCTAACCCATAACTGCCGAGATGCGGACCTGAACAGCAATCTTCAGCATATATTGGTGGTCGGCTGGCGATAGAACATGCAATTTGTGACTTCTGCGAAGCTTCGCGGGGCTGGCTGTTATTAGGCGACTACCCCTTCTTGCGAACTGACCCCACTACTGTGTGGGATTTGCAGAAGGCAGCGGGAAGGACAGCTCTCATACCCCGCCTAAAACAAAAGTTGGAATGAGCCCTATTTTGTGCCGCGCCATTCAAAACTTTTTGGGGAAGGGCCTGCGCAAATCGAATTTTCAGCAGCCCTTACCCAAAAGAAAAGTTTGGGCCGTGGGCGCGGCCGGTTTGTGAACTTGCGCGGTGAGTTTAACATTTTTGCCGAGTTGGGGGCCCTAAGAAATTAGAAAACCCCTACTTTTTTTCTTTTTTTTTTGGACCTAATTTCTCAAGTGCGCTGCGCTTCGGTGCGCTGCGCTTCGGTGCGCTGTGCGGTGCGCGGCGCGACATGCGCAAACCGTGCGCAAACCGGCGCACCGACGTGCGCCGCAACTATGTTCCTGACCCATTTTCTGAAGTCGGGACCCACCCCCATTCTTTCCGTGCTCGCAAGACCCGACTCACGGACATGAGCGGGGCTGGTCGGAGAACCCGCTCTGATACCAAAATGCAAGGTAGCAATGCATGAGAACTCGAAATTTCTGAGCTGCGAAAGACTTTTATAGTAGAACAGCCATATGTGAGCAGAGAATTGAAAGCAGAATTATGAAGCCAACAGCACACCAAATGAGAGCACACAGAGCACTGAAGTCTCTTGGCCAAGAAAGCCCCGCTTCTCACCTCCAAAATCAATGCAACAACAGTGTAGTAGCTCTCCTATTATGTGACCATGTATACTACTCTCCCACTCTCTCTACACACATCCTACTACTCTCCCTCACTCTCTCTGTCCCCAACCCTCTCCGCCAATGATGCTGCGAATCTGACCCACTGGAGTGCTCCTCGGCGACCACAAGGTAAGTACTGCCAGTCCTCGCTGTCGCTCCTTCTCCCCGATCTCACTGACCCAGCACCAGCCTGCCTTCCTCCATTGCAGCTATGCATGGCTTCTGCTGGTGGAGCAGCTGTCTGGCCGCTACTCGCTCAGACAGAGCTAGCGCCGACAGCAAGTGCCTCCGCATGTGCAGGGTTCATCGGCCTTCGTGGGCCTCAGTAGCCAGTCCCCTCCTGTCTACGGGCCCGGGTCTGGGTCCCAGCCTCTGTGACTACCGTAGCTCAGAGGCTGGGCTTATTGGTTCGTTACAGGACACCCAACTGACTGGTGCCAGTCTTCTCTCAGCACTGGTAAATAGATTCGCATCTGCTGCGAATGCACTTAGGAGGGCCGCTCTTATTTTCCATGGGTGGCCCCTTACCACTAAGTCACCCAAGGCCTGAACCCTCACATTTTTGAATTTTCCATGTCAAAAAAAAAAAAAGTATTTCGGTCAATTTTTGCTAGTTTTTTTGGTTAAATTATTAAATATCTATTATCTATTATCTAACACATGATATTCTTTAGCTTAATTTAAAATATTTTAAAATTTAAATACAATTTTACTATTTTTGGATTTTTTTTTGCAAATTAATTTTGTTAAATGAACTTAACCTGTTTATATTTTTTTGCCTGGAGTATGTACTGAGTCTACTGACATATTTTCTTCGGCTTTGTTTGGCACAGGTTGTGAGTGCCTATGTCCCATTGTCGGAGATGTTCCAGTACGTGAGCAATCTGCGGGGATTGACAAAAGGCAGAGCCAATTACACAATGCAGCTGGAGAAGTTTGAGGTTGTGCCTACCCTCATCCAGCAGGCGATCTCGGCAAAAACCCAAGGAGTTGCTGCCTAAGGCCTTGTGAACCAACTAGCCAACTAGCTAGTGCTCTTTTGATAGAATCTGCTTGACAGTGGGACCAGATTCACCAGATACATCGCCAAAAGTCCTGTCGCCGGGTTGCCTGGGCGGAGAGGAGGATACCTGCTTGCATTGCGTTGGTTCAGAGAGGATTTTGGCACGTTGCCCGACTTGACTTGAGTCCCTCTGATTGTGTATGCGCCTGTGCAAGGCGGACCGCATCACACCCCGCTTGCGTCCAAACCCTAATGACTCTGCCTCCCTCTTCTGAATGTTCCTGGAACTTTCCGGCGATTGTCATTGCTAGGATCTCTCGACAACAGGTGCGATGCATTCCATCCGAAGAGCTGGTGGGGCAGGGGGTGGCAGGAGGAGGGGAGGGGAGGGGAGTGAGGGAGGCGAGAGGGGGTAGGAGAGGGGAGCCTCCAGGGCATACACGAGAGCAAAGAGAAGCAAGGAGAGAGGAGAAAGGGAGGGGAGTGGAATGGAGTGAGAGCGAGAGGAGAGGGGAGAGAGAGAGAGCAGTAGAAATGAAGGAGGGGAACCTGAGGAAATAGGTGAGCGGATTACAGTTGGCAAGAGTAGAGAGAGGAGAAGCGAGGCGATCAGGAGGAATTAAGTAGAGAGAAGAGGAAACGAAGGTGGTGAGGAGAAGAGGATGGCGAGAAAGATAACAAGATTGTGGGCAGAGAAATGCGGGGGGGAAGAGCAGCTTGCTCTACCATGTGCAGATCTGTGAAGAGAGCATTGTTGTGTGCAGAAAAAAGTGATTGAGCTCACTCACTTGCCACCTGCGACTCCCCCTTCCTCTCCCCCCCCCCCCCGGCCGCCATGTGTCCGGCAAAGGGCCTTGCGAAAACGAAAAAATGGTGGTGGCCTTGGTGGTGAGGGGTTTGCTGAGTTTTATCAGAATGAAGAGGAGTATGTTACCATGTTAGCGTAGACTCCTGTCCGATTTGTCTGCCCCCGAAGTTATATCACCTGTATCAGCCGTCTACACTAGGGTTAGCATGATACAGGTGATATATGTTAGTGTAGACTCCTGTAGACGCCTGTATGCCCCTACTTTTGACACGTATATGTCCTCCTTTACATAATGTTGTATAGTCTTGAAGAAGGTAGTTTAGGATGAGTCATCATGAATTCATCTGTGTGTACTTGATGTTTTGAAACTGTGATGATGACATGCACATGCGCCAAAAAGTTTGTGAGTGACGATTTGAGTGTTTGCTATTTTGTTTGTTTGTTTGTAACGTTGCAAGGCGGGGAAAGTTGCTTCGCTTGCTCCTCCTTCCTTTTCGAGTGAGTAATCACTGTAAAGTTTAAACTATGGCGAGCCTGCTGATTGACCAATGAATTTTGAAGATTGTTCTCTTGAAGGAACGTCCAACTCTAAGGCGGCGTTTCCAACATATCATAGCAAAACTTGCAAAAGTGATTGAACTCTCATGTTGCCTTGAGAGGGACCCATCTTGAGGCCACACAATAAATCCAAGAACTCCAATACTTTTTTTTTTTTTTTTTTTTTTTTTCCCCGTGCAGAATGTTGATGAGACACACTTTAAGCCTTTGCTTTTGGTTCGTCCGTCTGTTTGTTCTTTGTGAAGAAGAACATTGACGAGACACACTTTGAGCCTTTGGGCCTCGCTCCACTACTCTCCATACGCACAGAAGACAAAAAATATGGGAATGTTTCTTTTCATGTTCTAGCGGAGGATTCAATCTTGTTTGGCACAACTGGAGAGTGTAGTGGAGCGAGGCCCGGGGCTTCTTGGGTTGTCGGTCTGTTTGTAATTTGTAACGTTGTGTTTCTGTTTTTATTTTTTATTTTTTATTTTTTTTTAGAATGTTTCTTTTTTTAACACAGCTGGAGCTGTTGGTTCTGTTGAGAGGTGTCAAATTCTGTTCATCGCACGGTTTGTGGACCATCATCAAAATTAGAATGACATGGATAAGATAATAGATATACTATCATGTATATATATATATTTAAACTTTAAAGATAATTAAGAGATTGACATGGCTGTTATGATCCTGACCAATTTCGAGATACACATTCATCAGATAGTATAATGCCGTCCAATTGCAGAAAGGAATGAATGAACTTGAGAGGAGAGAGAGGGTAAGAAGAAGAAGAAGAAGAAGAAGAAGAAGAAGAAGAAGAAGAAGAAGAAGAAGAAGAAGAAGAAGAAGAAGAAAGAAAGAAAGAAGAAGATGATGTACAGCAGTATAGACGAATGACAAAGCTCTTCTTCTTCGCCCAACACTGTCCTCTTCCTTTACTCCTCCTCTCTTATTCATACAAGAAATAATAGTACAATGTTGAATGGCTGATCCAGAATCATGTCCGAGTTCCTCTTCTACTGCAGGTATCACTTGAGGTCCACCATAGCCATGGACGCCTCCCTCACTCTTCACTCCCATAGGCCGAGGCTACGGCGGACTACTGGGCCTTGCCCTGATGTCCAAAGGACAACCCAAAGCAGCTATGGCTGCTCCAGCTCAGGCCGCCATGCCTGACTCTGCCTCGAAGCTTCTTGGTGTGGCTCTACCCCCACTGGGGTCTTCCTGCTGCAGCGCCCACCAAGGTGATGAAGATGGCTGCCACCGTAGCCAGGTAAGTACCTCTAGCGCTCCCCCTTCCTCCTGTCCTTCTTCCTCCTCCATGTCCTTGCTCCTTCCCCAGAAGCGCTGCTCCAAGCTAGCGCTGCTCCAGCCAGCGCTCCAACCAGTGTGTCGCCAAACTTGCACACCGACAATGAGGCTGGGCTCTTTGCCTGGCCTGGAGATATAGTGGACTGCTTGCCTCTTGGGCAGTGACTTCCAGGCCGCTCGGCCTTCCCAGCAACCGGTACCTCCTCCCTTTCGGAGGGAATCATCATTGCAGACTCTGATATTGCCCGTACACGCCCTAGACTCAGACTGGTTGGACTGGTACCCGCCTAGACCTAGCCTACAACTACTGGGCCTCTCAAAATGCCACTTTTGTCTTCCTCTACTCGGCCTCCAGTACCCGCACATCTACCTCTTCAGGGTGCGGTACCGGCCTACCTGCTACTTTTGAGTGTTTTCCCCCGCTGCAATCCCTCAATGTCACGGCCACAGGTAAGTACCGGCCCTGAGGGGCCAACGAACGGACAAGTACCCTTGCGGGTCACACACGCACTCAAGCCAACCAGCACTCAGACAGACATGCAGACCAGCAAGCATACACACACACATTGCGCGTAAGAGGCACAGTAAAAGGGGAGTTGCAAGAACAATGAAAGGGGTACCCCAAGGACAACCAAAAAACTGTCTAATTATAAAATTGCTTTAATATGTTGGACATCTCAAATGCTCTCATTGTCTGCAATAGGATAAAGACTGCTTTGATTCTGAATCTATTCACCTGGGTGGAATTGGGGCTGTTGTGGGGAAAATCTAAAACACACAGACATGCAGAACTTAGTGGCAAGCGGGAAACTCATTAAGGCATTCAGTCCGTGAGCAAAACTCAGAAATCAGCTGTGTGTCTCAGTTGGTGTTTGGTCGGGTCATCACACCCTCCCCCCTTTAAGAGCGAGGTCCCTTCGAGCGAGTAACTCAGTCTGATTCCCCGACAAATGCATCGTAAGCAAATAAGGCAAAGAGGTTTCAAGAGTACTCTGTTGCAGTTAGCTTTGCAGAGATTTTAGGAACCGCATTAGAGGCGATTTGTCGTTCGTAGGCTTTGACAACGCGAGGAGCGCTGCGCGGCAGTTCCTTCTTGGAGATCCAGTAGAGATCGTCCAATGGGTGATACATAAAGTGAACCTGGTATTGTCGGTTACGTCCCTTCCCTACGTGCTGTTTGATTCTGTCGATCTCATGACCGCCATCGATTTCACGAGGAATCATGTCTTCACGGTAATCGAAGGACTTAGCATCACGGTTAATATACAGTTTTGATGCATGAAAGACAGGGTATGTGCGCAGATGAGGTGGCACAACAACTGTGTATGAGGGGCCAAATTCATCATTGCCAGTAGAATGGAAGAAGTTTGTGTGAGATTCCCTCTTCTTCTGAGCATTTAGACATCTTGACCCAGACATAACTTCCTACTTCGATATCCGAAGGTCGGCGCTTCTTGTTTGCATGGTGGATCATTGCGTGTTGTCGCTTGGTCATTGCTACGATGGCAACTTTGAGCAAGCGATTGTACTTGGCCCTGAAGCCAGGTCTGTCGGGTGTTAAACCAGTTGTTGGCTGTTCAGGGAACAGGTAGAAGAGCGGGTTTCAAATTTGCCAACCGTACTGCAGCCTGTTTGGTGTCATGCTGGTGGCAAAATGGATGAAGTTGTTGTATAACCCCTTGACGGAATACAGCTCTTCATCCCATTTCTCCTGATCCGGAATGATCAAAGCAAGGAGAAGTTGAAACACAGTCTGGTTGATTTCCTCACCCAAACCATTGGCTTCGGGATGTCGCCCATATGTCATGCATAGTTTGAGGTCAGGGAGTTGGGACGTAAAGTCCTTCCATTCGGTACTTATGAAGCGCGGGTCCCGATCACTCATAAGAGTTTTTGGGGTTCCGAACTGCAGAATATACTTCTGTTTGAACTCATGGATCACCAATTCAGTTGGGGCATGAGATGGCAAAAAAATCAGATTCAGAAACTTAGAGAAGCGGTCAACAATCACCATGACTTGCGAATAGCCATTCTTGCTTACCTTTCCCATGTCAGTGAAGTCGACGGAGATGGACTCCCCGGGTCGATCAGGAATGGGAAGGGGTGTGAGTAGCCCCACGGGCTTCTACATGGTTTGATTCGTTGACAGACTTGGCATTCAGCCACAAACTTTTCAGCCGATCCCTTCATACCGGGCTAATCAAACTGTCTTAAAAGGTTTTCGTACGTCTTTGCCATGCATAAGTGTTCGCTCCGGCCATGAGGCTCATGGTTGGGTACGCACAAATGGTCGTGATTCCATAACATCGGAAAACCAGTCCTCCATATTCATGAAAATCAGGCTGACTGCTGGGGTCAACATGTAGCTGTTCAAGGATGGGACTAAGGTCAGGGCCCTTGGCAGTATGTTCTACGATCTCCTCCTTTAATTTCTTCCGGAGGTCGTAGGAACCCACAAGGCAAGTCATGTACTCAGGGTGGCGAGACAACGCATCAGCAACTCGGTTATAACAACCCTTTTTATGTTTTAGTTCAAAATAAAAAATGTCAATCTCATGAAACCAACGCAATGGAGTAGGGGACAAAGTGGTTTGCTGTTTGATCCACTTCAAGGTCTCATGATCCGAGAACACTTTGAAGTGGCGTCCCAAAAGATAGTGCTTCCAGTGGTCCAAAGCCATATGCAAAGCATAGAGGTCGCGCATGTAGGTGGAAGTGGCTACCTTTTCGCTGGGCGTGCGTTGTTATAGTACTCGAGCGGCCGCAAGCCATCGCCATCGTCTTGTTGCAACACTGCGCCAATCCCGTATTGGTTAGCATCCGTAGTAACTACGAATGTTAGCTTGGAATCTGCAATGCGGAGTACAAAGTAACTCACCAAGGCCTCTTTCAAGGCTTGAAATGCGGTCTCACATGTTGCATCCCATGCGTAAGGTATATTCTTACTAGTCATTCGGGATAACGGGTGAGCAACAATAGAGAATCGGGGCACAAACTTTCCATAATATGACGCGAGACCAAGGAAAGAACGTAGTTCGCGGGTTGTGGCCAGTCACGTATGCCTTCAACCTTGGTTGCCTCAGGCTCGAGGCCTGAAGCAGACAACAGATGCCCAAGATAGATGACGCTATCCCTCCCAAACTCAGATTTTTCTAAGTTGAGATGGAGTTGCGTTTTCTTGAGGATGGTGAACGCTTCCTCAAAGTGCTTCATGTGTCCCTCGATAGATTTACTGAAGATCAGAATGTCATCGAGATACGCTACCACAAACTGACCAATCTGTTCGCGGAGGACCTTGTCCATGAGGCTTTGAAAGGTGGCTGGTGCGTTCGTGAGGTCGGTCTGCCGGATCAACTTCAATCTGGTGGTATCCAGACTTGAGATCGATCTTGGAGAAGACCTTGCACCCACCGACAACAACAAGCAAGTCATCTATGCATGACAACGGATATGCATTCTTTCTGGTGATGCGGCTTAGACCACGATAATCAATACACATACGAAGCTTGTCTCCTTTCTTCAAGACAAACAAAACAGGTGCACCATTAGGTTTGATCTAACCCTTGTCGATCATTTCGTCGATTTGTCTTCGGAGTTCCTCCAAATCGTCGGGTCCCATTCGGTACACGCAGCCCTTTGGAGGAACAACACCTTCGCCCAACTCGATGGTATGTCGGACCGATCGCATGGGGACTCCACGTGGTTCGGCTAGAACT